TTTTTTAAATCTACAGTTGAAAAATTCACACTGGACTTTACATTTATAAAGTTTGTTCCAATAATAAATGCATGCTCGAATCTTTTGCATCACTGTGTTGCTCTATGTTTATTCTTTAGGACAATCAAGTACATTGAGATTTTAATAACGAAAATTTGATAACGAAGTTTACGTCCATTGATTCCTTCACCACAATGTTGAAATGTTACTTTTCTTAACAAAACAAATCTTAAATGTTATGTATTGGCATTTTTTTTGTTTTTTCCAAAGTTTTCTAGTGGTACAATTCTTCACAAAAATATCATTCAAACACCAAAATCAACAAATCTTTTTATAAATCCATTTAAAAAAAGAAAAAAATTATAATGGGAACGTTTTTATGAAAAATCAAGAGAAAATTATTTGATAATCAAGAATAGTTCTTCTTCGACTCTTCAAGATAAAATTTGAAAATCTAGGAGCACTGTTTTATCGATAGTTTTCTATCATATTGTGTCACAAGTTTTATATTTTGGTATCTAGACATTTGTTTAGCCAGTAGTTTCATGTCTAGGAGCATATGCTTGATCTCATTTACATGACAAAAGAGTTAAAACAGTGATGGATAAACTCATTACTGAAATGTTTCGGTTACGAATTTCCAACCCAACAATATACACATCAAAATCCACCTACCGGTTAATCATAAACCGAACCGGTTCTATGGTGGTTAACAGTGATCCATGGATGCAGAAGATCTGATAGTTTTTAAGGTTCCACCAAGTTCCAATGGAACCAAAGGTATAAGAGAATGCAAGACGTCTGTAATCAACGGTCTATAACTTGGTTCTGGCTGCACGCACAAAACCGCCACTGCAGCTACCTACACATTTACATATTCGCATCATAACTCTTGATTTCTATCTCAAAACCACTCCTCTACATTTCAAAATTCCCCAAATTCTGGAAACAAACGAACCTGGTAAAGGTGTTTCAAGTCCATTGTGTCTTTAATCGCAGGATCTATGACGTTTGGTAACTTGGTTCTATCAGTGAGATAAGGCATTGCCTGAGAAAAAGAAGAAGACAACATCACAATTCAAGATTCCAAGTCTAAGAGATTTAAAAGGTAACAATAGTATGAGATTATTTAAAAGGCACGCCATATTGCGCCATGGCGCAAGGCACAAAGCGTATGCATCATTGTTTTGATGCGCTATGAGCCATTTCAAACACAGATTTGTACCCACGTGATGATGGATTGGCATTCACTGTGACCTAGTTTCTCGACAGTTTTTTTTCCGATCAAAAGCTCTAATAACACTACCCCGAAGGCGTCACGTCTCTCTTTTCTGTCAATTGGCCTATTCATTTATCAAACATACAGAAAGTATGGTAATCAGAGAAATGCTTATCATAAAAAACATCACTTTTATTTAAATTAAGACTTGAGAGATTAATATTTCAGGGTTTACCGTCGAGAAGATACTCTGGTGCAACGTAGCCAACTGTGCCGAAAAGTTTAAGGTTTTTGTTTTTGGTCCATTGACAACAGCAAGACCAAAATCTGAAATCTACAATTGATACAAAGCTAGACTTGAGATAAGAAAACAAAGGAAATGATATTGAGACCTTCTCATTTTTAAACATTGATTTGTTACCTTAGCGTTGAAATTACAATCCAATAGTATGTGGACGATTTCAAGTCCCTGTGAATGATCGCTGGATGGCAATGTTCATGCAAATATTCTAGTCCCCTAATTGGAAATTCACATAAAAACAATACTTGTGAAATGTTGTGAAACAATAGTTTAGTCATCTAGATTGTGAAATGTTGTGTGTATTGCTCTCAATACACAAAACACAAGAAATTATGCTCCCCTCGCAATATCAAGAGCAATCTTCATCCTCATAGGCCATGTGATTGTTCTCGCTGAACCCCGAGAAGATCCTGAGAAGAAGTACATGAACAAAAGTAAGAGACTTTAGATTGTTTCTATACATGAAGCATAATCCAGAAAACTCAATCATAACCCAGAAATGGTTATAACTAATATAGAAACTCAGGCATATACATGAAGCATAAAATGTTCACCAGTGTCCTCTCTTTTGAAGTGTTATACAGCATTTCCAGTTCAAGAAGTAAACTGTCCATCAATAAATATATATTTATAAACAATAGATCGTTGATATGACATACCATATTATCTAGATCAGTTCGCACCAGAACATACTCTTTAAAGTCGGAGTTCCCTTGCAACAATGAGTAGGGGAGTAACATAGCGCCCTCATCAGCCAAGCACCTATATTGCCAAATTGCATTATGACTCAGTAGCAAAGAACTTATTGAAATAAGATTATGATACACGATACATCTCTATGAAACCAAAAACAAATCATAGAACACAAAAATCTTCGGTAATTATAGAAAATCCACATCAAATACGAAGAAATAGCTCTCTTTTTAGTTTCCGCTTTGTGTTCGGTTTCGCTACTTGCCAATGCAGCTTTCACATTCTCAAGGGCTTCTGGTGTGATGGTCTGTGCATCTCTCTGGAACAATAGATGTGCCTGCCAATAAATACAACCAAATCAAACAACATCAAGACACCAAAATGATACCTCAAGCATGAATATAGCAAAATCTTTAATTATAAACCATGTGAGATACGTAACTGGTAGAATTCATCAAGATCCAAGCTTCATTGACATTCATCATTCAGTGATAAATGAAATAGATATATCAACAAAACAAAA